CCTCAGAAACCCAAGGAGGGGTCACTATGAGTCGGGGCCAACTCGACGGCACATAACAACAACAACTGCCTCAGAAACCCAAGGAGGAGTCACTATGAGTCGGAACCCACCTGACGGCACATAACAACGACGACAATGTATAAGACGGTTGGTTGGTTTTTTTTTTTTTAAAGTATATTCACAAGGTTATGTAACCATCACCAAAATCTAATTTTTGAATATTTTGGCTCCTATTGAATCTCCCTATCCATTACCAGTTATTCTCTACCCAGCCCCAACCCTGCCTCCCCAATTACCTTATTCTTGCTAGGCTCTGGGAATCACTAATCTGCTACAGATTTGCCTAGTGTGAACATTTTATATAAATGTAGTCATACCATATGTGGCTTTTTTTGACTGGCTTCTTTCACTTAATGTGATGTTTTCACGGTTCATCCACGTTGTAGCATATATCAGTACTTCATTCCTTTTTATTGCCAAATAATATTCCATTGTATGGATATAGTAGGAGTCCCTGGATTGCACAAACGATTAATACATTCAACTACTAACTAAAAGGCTGGAGATTTGAGTCCATCCAGAGTCACCTTGGATAAAAGCCTGGCAATCTCCTTTCAAAAAAATCAGCCATTAAAAACCTTACTGAGCACAGTTCTACTCTGAGACACATGACATCACCATGAGTTGGAATTGTCTTTCTAGCAACTGGTATGGACATACTCCATTTTATTTATCCATTCATCAGTTGATGGACATTTTGGTGGTTTCTACTTTTTGACTATAATGCTGTTACTGAACATTCATACACAAGTTTTTGTGTGGATGTATGTTTTCAGTTCTTTTGTTACACACTGGGAGTCCAGTGGGAGCTCTGGTGATACAGTGCCTAAGGCATTTGACTGCTAACCAGAAGGCTGGCAGTTCAAACCCACCAACCACTCCTTGGAAGGAAGATTGGGCAATCTACTTCCGTAGTGATACTGCCTCAGAAACCCAAGGAGGGGTCACAATGAGCTGGATCTGACTTGATGGCAGTGAGTTTGGTTTTTGGTTTGGGAGCCCAGTACTTGGATTATATGGCAACTCTGTTTAATTTTTAATGACCTGCCTAATTATTTTCCACATCAGCTACGCCATTGTACATTTCCACCAGCAATGTCTCAGAGTGCCAGTTTCTCCATGTCTTTGTCAATACTTGTCATTGTCTGTTTTATTGTAGACTGCTAATGGTTAAGAAGTGACATCTCATCCTAATGGGTAAGAAGTGGTATTGATTTTTATTCCCTAATGCGTAATGATGTTGAGCGTCTTTTTATAAATCTTTGGAGAAATATCCATTCAAATTGCTGATTTTTCAGTTGGGTTGTGTGATGGTTATGTTTATATGTCAACTTGGCTAGGCCTGGTTGAGTGGCTGGCTGGGCAGCTGGATCTAGTATTCCCCATGATGAGACTAGTAATCAACTCCATGGTGGAATCTACTATGAGCGGCTGAGTAGCTGTCTTTGGGTATTTGGTCTGCTTCCTGTATATAAGGAGAAGTTTTGAGAATGGTCTGTAGCCCATGGCATGCTTGGACCCTGCTTGTAGCTGTGTTGTTGCTCAGCAGCCTGCTATGCTCTGCTGACCTTGGGACTTAAAATGGATTTAAGTTAATGGCCTACCGTGTGGTTTGGTAACATCAGGACTGTGCCTTTTTACTTGTCAACCTTGGGGCTTCTCAGCCTCAGCAGCAAGCAGCTGTCTGAGTGAAGAAACGCCTCTAGCTCCAGTGGGCTGGGAGCAGGAGGCAGAGCTGGACCCCAAGGTTGAGGGCTTTCACCCAGCCCTTAGAGCCTGGCACTTTGAACTTGGACTTAAAGCCTCCAAATTATAAGAATAAACTCCTGTTTGTTAAGGCCATCCCATTTG